CTGCAAATAGAAGTAGAACAACTGGCAAAAGAAAGCAAAGATAGCCTTAGGTGCCATCCCAAAACATCTGGAGCCCCACTTGAACACCATCGGCATTGACAAAATCACCATCAGTCAATTGCAAAAGGCAGCTTTACTTGGAACAGCTTCCATCCTGTGACAATGCCTTAACGCCATCAAACAGCAACATCTGCCTATCTCAGGTCCTTGAGAAGGACTGGATAGGTGGATAAAAATGCCAAATCCAGTCTGAACATCTGGCTGACTGTGCAACCAACAATAATAGTATGGTTATCCATCATTATTACTTTCTAAGAAAGCTTGCATTGTGACATGGCAGCTTGTACTTTTTAGTTTATTTTATAAAGCGAAAAGTCAGCTGGGTCAAGGAAGGACTCCCTGAAGGTAGCTGTAGGATTGCTGTAGACCACAAGTATTAGAGGTCACCACCGGAAGGAAGAAGCCATTAAAAACAAGCCTAATTTCACTTACTGTGCTAAGTCATAACCTGGGTTGGTTGGTTTCAGCATGTATACAACACAACTGTTGTGGCTTATAAGCTATACAGTATTTATAACTTATAGCAATGTGTGAACAATTTGGGTTGACACACCATGGTTAAAGTGGGAAAACCCAGCCAGAAAGTCTTGTTGAAGTATGTTGAGCAAGTCAATTTAGTAGGAGATTCCCTGGCCCCGCAGACTCCCATTCCCAGTATCAGGCAGGCAGGATCCTTTGGGAAGCTCCCACAGTCCTGATAGGTTTCCCACTGCAGCCCCAGTAACAGTCCCACGTTGCTTATTTAGCAGCCACTTGGAACAGTGGCCAAGTTGTAGGCCGTCTTCAGAGTCTGGTGAAAAACTGGCTAGATCTTCTGGAAAACCCAGTGGCCACCCTGAAGGCCAACAACTGCATAGGCTTGCACCAATCAGGGCCTGGATGAGAGCTTTCCTTAATGGATGAGGGAGAGAGGAAATTCAAAATCCAGCAGTGAGAGGAAGTTCATCTCTGCAGCTGTAGGTCTGTGCCTGGTGGGGCTTTGCTGGCCTCACATCCATTCAGGGCTTTGAAATAACAGCTGGTGCTGCCCAGCAGTTCGGGGACACAGCTCAGTTCTTCTCTTTGACCCTGAAAAACCCTTGCAGGACAAAGGGAAAAAAGGCTGCCGCATACTAGAGTGACAGTGTGCCATGTGCAATTAGAGCCAGAGAATGCCAGGGATTTTTAAACTGCTTCCTCCGTTGAAATGCTACCCTGAAATCAACACAGTGCTGAGCCGAGCCCCACCGCATCGAGCTCCCTTCGTTACAAGGAGAGTGCTTAGGGGCCCGTGGCCTTCAGCAGAGAGTTTCCAGAAGACATAAACGAATCTCTGGTCTGCTGTGACAGCAGCCTGGGCTCACCTGTTCTGTCCGTTTCCTGCCTTCTGCTTGCAGTGCCTTGTTTTGGTGTAAGGTTACGGGTGGGGACCTGATCGGCTCCACGGCCTGCCCGTTTCCCAGCCGCTATGGGCGGGGGGAGATCAGGGCTCTCCCTCTGGGCTGAAGAGCCACCTTGCCCACTCCTCTCACCTGCTGTGCCAGACCCGGCAGCAGGTTCCCAGGCCGCAGAGCTTGGAGAAATGCAGGCGGTGCCTGTGCACCAGGGCTGTGCGTGCCTGTCAGCAGCTAGCTGCCGGCTCTATCCCAGGAAGATGCTCTGTGGGGAGGGAAGACCGTTGGGGGAAGGCAACGGCTCCCTAGCCTCCACCCACCACCGCCAGGCTAGTGCCCAGGTTGCAGGGTTGGGTAGATGTATTTTTTGACGCATTTCCAGGGTGGTCTGGAAGACTCCTGGACACACATCCAAACATGTCAAAACATTTCTCCCCACTAGATTTGGTGCTGAAATGCCTAACCCATGGGGGAGTGGCTAAAGATATCCTTTCACCCCTCTCTTCTTCCCCCATGAGAGGTGGGGAGAAGCAGCTCTTAAGCCACCCCTCACAATAAAGCATGGGGAAAAAGGGGTCCAGCGTTCGGATCCTCCACAGCACTCTCAGGGGAGCAGAGAACTGGCAGAAGACCTGTTTCCCCCTTCCTCAAACCCCTTCTCTTACCAAGGAAGAGGGTCTTCTGCTGCATCCCTAGAGGTGCTTCCCACCCTACTTCTCTTTGGGGATGGATCCCCCATTCTCCCTGGTTGCTAAGGCAGAATAGTAAATGAAGATGTGGCGTTTTCTGCTGCTTGTGGGCTGGAGAAGAGTACTTTAATGCTGCAGTCTAGAAGTGCTCAAAGCGCAGAACAGTGAAGTTAAAATATTTGGTGTGTGTATCTGTACATACCTCCAAAATAGCATTGGAGCATTTTTAGCATAAGGACAGTGTAGACTTTGAAGAGTATCCCCTTCCTATTTCTTTGAACTGCCACCTGTTCTCTCCCAATTCAACTGGACTGGACTAAGCCCCCCACCTGATTCAGTTCTATGGCTGAATGCTGCTGCTATGTATCATGTGGAACTTTTCACTTGGATTCAGACACATCTCAAATGTAACTTCAAAGGTCTGCTGAGCTCTACATTCTTTTGTCACCTCGCAGTGGTATGAAGCGCACATGCCTGAGGCGAGAATGCCTGGCGCAGAGCTATTGTACGTAACTGGCCTGGAACCTTTCAACCGAAGCAGATATTTATACTTTTATAGGGTATTTTGATGGACTAACATTCTAGTGAACTCTTCTGCAAAATACTGAAAGCACAATTTTCTGAAATCAACAGCTCTTCTGGCAGAAGAAAGTAAAAACAAATTAAATCCGTATTTTTCAAGGTCTTATTCCATGGTTTAAACTATTTTGGATCTGCTGCAATTGGAACATTTGGCTAGGAGGGCCTTTGCATAGCTTCGCATTGTGCACCAGTTGTGCCCGTTCCTGGATTGTGGGGCTCTGCACACAGTGACTCACGCCCTGGTCACCTCCCATTTGGATTTCTGTAATTTGCTCTACATGGGACTGCCCTTGAAGAGTATCTGGAAGCTCCAGTTGGTGCAAAACGCAGCGGTGCAGGCAGCTATGTGTTCCTCTAGAACAGCACACATTATATGTCTGCTCCATGAGCTGCACTGGTTGCCAGTTTGCTTCCATGTCCAATTCAGGGTGCAGGTTTTGACTTTTAAAGCCCTTCATGGCATGGGGCTGGGTGACCTGAGGGACCGCCTCTCCCTGATTACATCTGTCCGCCCCATCAGGTCTGGCAGAGAAGGCATGCTGCGGGTCCCATCTGTCAGGCAACTACACTTGGCAGGTCCCAGGAGGCAGGCCTTCTCTGCCATGGGACCCACCTTATGGCACGTTCCCCCCCTCCCCCACCAAAGTGAGGTTACTCCATCCCTGTTGAATTTCTGGAAGTCTCCCAAGACCTGGCTATGTCATCAGGCCTGGGATCCCAGGGGATCTTGAGGTGGCTCCATTACCAATGTTACATCTTTTCTCTCTTATGCCTTGTGACTTTTACATTTTTAAAATAATGACTGTTTTTTATATGTTTACTGTTTTATCATTTTGTTGTACACTGCCCAGAGTCACTTTTTGTGAGATGGGTGGGCATATAAATTTGAGAGATGATAGATGATAGATAGATAGATATAAAAACAGGGTAATAAGCATTAGAAATGCATGCTTAAAATAAAACCACTAAAAGGTGTCTTTCTTTAGAGTTCTTGTAAGACCTTGATGCAGTTCCTGCAGTCTCAGCTTACTTGCTTTTTTGATGAAGGGAAGGGTTCAAGCAGGAATAAAAGTCTTGTCCAGAAGGTTTCTGGAGGGCAGAGCTGCCCAGCCTCTCTGATACAAGGACAGCTTCTAAGGAAGCAGCCAAGCTGAAAGTCCCTCTGTGTGATTTTAAATCCTGATTTGCTACTAATTATTTCAGGAACTTACAAACATGGTAACTTAAAGGGAAGATAAGAAGGTTGAACCTTCTTTTTAAACCAAACAAAAGTAGCGTTTCATGTTTATTGGTTACGGTGCATATTCTGCTTGCACACTTGAAGCAGGTTTAAAAGAGCCCTGTGTTCCCCCCACCTCAGCCACAGATTTTTCACAACAGGACCAAGCAGTCAAGTATAATCCCAGGCCAGCTTGCCACGTCCGCCATGGAAAGCGCCTTCCAGGGCCTGGTGTCGGGGGGGGGGCAGACTATTCACTCCGCTCTCTCGGCTCCCGATACTGCCACTGGATGTAGTCAAAGATGTCCTTCTCGCAGTCCACAGGGAGTGGCTCTCCCGCAATTCCTGCCAGTTCAGAGCCAAAGAGTTCCACTTGGTTAACCGCCCCAGCAAGAGATCCCCAATTCTCCAGCCACGAGGTTCTGTTAAGTGTTGCTTTGTGGAAGCAGCTGCCACTTGCCCAAGTTTGACTGTGGCAGCTTCTGCTTCCTTCCAGAGGGAAGACCCTTCAGACCTTTTACCGTTCATTATAGGTGGGTGGGTGGGGAGAAGGACAGGAACCAGGAAAAGAGAACAAAGTTGTTGGGCTGCTGTTAGTGTTGTCAACACAAAGGCCCGTGGACCAAAGCATTCTTTCTTACCGACACCAGGAAGCCCTTTCCTCATCCTAAGCTTATCTTTAGTCATGAGGACTAGACAAGACGTGATTTTGCTTGAACAAAAAGTTGGGATTTGTGGCATTATACTCTGACAAAAAAGCTCTTTGTGGCTCAACTCTGTCCTAGAGAGCAATGAAGAATACTCACCAGTGATGCCGAGAGGCCGGATTGTGTACTCATTGAGAGTGAAGCCCATCTCCAAGGCGTGGGCCCGCATGTTCTTATTGAAGAGGTCACTTCCAGTGAAGTACAGGACTCCGCAGTAATACTGATCCTTGGGAATCAATCTATAATGCAATCAAGAGAGGGGCTGACTTTGGTAGCCTGGCAGTACAGGTAGTCCTCAACTAATCCCAACAGCAATTGGGATTGGAATTTCTGTTGCTAAGTAATGTGGTTGTAAAGCAGCCGGGGAGGGTGCACAAGGCTGCGAGGGAGGCATGTTGAGGCTGGAGGAGGGTGTGTGAAGGTGCCAGGGAGGCGCAGCGAGGCTTGGGGAGGGTGTGTGTGGGGGTGAGTGGCTGGCATGGCATGAGCGCAGAGGGCTGAGGGGCGGTGCACGGGTGGGTGAGACGTACCCCAGCGACTTGTGACCTTCCCTGCCAGCTTATCCATTGGCTTTCTTGGGAAGCCGGCAAGGAAGGACGCAAATAGCAATCATGTGACTACAGGGATGCTGGGATGGCCAGAACTCTGAGCACCGGTCGTAACCACCATTCATTCAGCACCATCGTAACTTCAAATGGTCACTGAATGAATGGTCCTAAGTTGAGAACTACCTGTATATAAACATAAGGAAACCTTTTGCTCAGCTTCAAGAAGTATTTTCCACTACTCTTCACAGATATGAGGTCCTGCATCATGGTCTGAACCACATTAGGGTTTACATCTACTTATTGAGGGTATTCAGAACCCAAGCCCCAAATGCCAGCCGCTGCTGGGAAGCAAAAGCAGAAAGTCACAAGGTGAGGGTTGTGGTTTACCCAGGTGGTTTAACTCTTTCAAGTACTCTGCTAACCCCGCCTACCACTCACGTTGCTGCTCAACTTCAGTTCTAAGGATGCTTGCAGTTAGACATCTATCAACCTTATCCTTTTGTTTTTTCACTGCTCCTAGTAAGTCTGCTATGCACAGATTATACGACTTCCCTTTAAAGTACTGCTAGATTTTTTACCTCATCTTGTTCCACGTGAGATTTACCTGATATCAATTCTCCTGTAAGGACAGACAGTGTCATCATCTCTGCTTGGGAGTTGACATACTCCCTAGAACCAAAAAACACAAGTAACAATTAACTGAAGGTCTCCTTTTTTCCAATATGGCAACTGATGAAATAAGAAATATAGAAAAGCAATAAACCTGTCAAAAGTTATAAAAAAAACTTTTAGATCATTCTGCCACACATCAATCCGTTGGACCATTAATTCAGTTAAACAGCCACTTTGGCTCCACCAAAACAGGATTTGGCCAGGATTCTGGGCTCTGAGATTCAGCTTGTTTTTGACAGATGGCTCAGAAGTCAGCAACTGGCATCTGGAGAAAGAGGATTTCAGGACTGGCTGCCTGCATTACAAAGCAGGACTCTTGGCCTCTCTCTAAGATCTCCCTTGTGTCTTCTAACATCAGCGCTGCTGCCTGTGTTTGCAAAGGAAGCAATCACAGAATGTGCATTTGATGTGCAATTTCCTTCATGCAAAATACAGAATTCAAGAGCATGTTAAATGTAAATTCAGCTTTTTTGGGAGCACTCTCAAAATAAGGCAATGCGAATCAGAGGTCAGTTATGACGTAAGGTAAAATTTAACTGTATTTACAGAGTACCACACATCCATTTTGTTCCAAATAACTCTGCAGCAAAAAACCATAGCAAAAATGTCTCCATCTTAATACCTTTCTACTGAACAACACAGCCAAAACTCTTCTGAAGCAGAAAACACATCTGAAACAAGCAAGGACATTTTAAGGAAATGTCTTCCCTTCTGAGGTTAAACCTGAAAGTTTTTTTCTCCTTGACTCTGATACTTAAGTGGAGTTCCAAGCTCACCAGCATTTGAAAGATGAGACAATTCTGGACTTTTCTGAATCTGTTTGCACAGCTCAGTGTTCTCCAATCTGATCCATTTTACTTGTGCTGGGATTGCAACTTCCCAAATTCCCAGGCAACACAGCCAACTATGGCAAAGCACACCAGGAGACCACCAGGTTGAGGAAGGCTGACGCTGGTCATAAACAACCTCTGAATCAGAAGGATTGGAGACCAGCCACTGGGGAGGCTATAATATTCCTCTACAAAGACAGGACTTTTTACGGCACAAAACATTTGTTTTGGAAAAAAAGAAGACTCACCATGAATTTGGTTTCTCCCTTTGACAGTGTGTCTGTAACAAAGTGGATGCTTTCCAGCTGCTCCACAACTTGATGCAAAAGCTTTGGCTTGAAAAGAAAGGAAGAGAACCAAACTGCTTGAGAATGTTATTGTGGTGCCTCATCTAGACCTCAGAAAAGTTTAGGACTGGTTTCAGCCCCTGCACAGGAAATTTGGAAACATGGGGATTTCTGTCCTTGGGACAATCCAGACAATAATAACTAGAAAAGTTATTCCAGAAGTGAACCACCTTCTTTGAGGAGCCTTTCTGGAATGACTAGAAGCTCTCATTCATTTCCAAGGCTTTAGTTGGCCGCCAAAAACATTGCAGGACTATACAAAGGGCAGGGGGGAGGCTGAACTGCATAGAAGAACAATTCTCAATTTTATACAATTCTCTCCGTTTTGCTAACCAGCAATGCAGCACTCAGTGCTGTAGCATGACCTAAGCTGTTCTGATCTGGTTCAGGATACGGAACCGTGTGGGAACCGTGCTGGAACCATTATCAGGTCAGGTTCACGTGGCATAAACTGCAAATCAGCCAACAGAACGTTGTGTAATCAAAATGTGAACGGTTAGTTCATGGCTCAGCATGTCACCCAACCCCCCCAAAGTGGGTTGAATAATCCATGGTTAATTTAACCATGAATAAGCCAGTTATGTAAAGACAATCTTCATCACATAAAGGCAATTTTCAATCAAATTCTGGAAACCTACAACCACTGAAACGAGTGGTTAAAGACAACAACCACATTCACATAACACTCAAAACACAGTTTAGTGTCATCCTTGGTTAAGACATCCACCCAACAGAGATGCCCCAGGCATCACAGCAAAACCCAGTGGGTCTTCTCTTGCTTTTTCATTTTTACTCCTCAAGCAATAGAGCCAGTGAGGGCCCAACTGGGGTCAAAGCCACTGTAGGTGGGACGGTGAAAGGCAAATTCTTTTCCTGGTGCCTTTGTTTTAAAAGAGCACTCCTTCTGCCAGAATGAGAAACAAACCTGGAGCAACAGAAAGCCTGTTGCAAGGGGCTCACCTTGCTGCTATAAACAACCCATTACTCTAGATGCAGGCCACATGCAAAGCCATGGCTGCCAGGGTGGCTTAAACAAGAACAAAGCATGCCACCAATTAGGGCTGGATGACAGGTCCTGAACCATTAACTCTGCCGGATCTTATTTCAAGGTTTGGATGACAGCAGTGTGCATTGCCTGCAGCTGGGCCATATATAGAAATCAGTCCCAGCTTTTAGCTCCAAATCCTTCTCTTATCTTAGTTCTTTTGCTTTGTTCCCTGTGAGATCAACAGCATTGCCCTTTCATGGCAACAGCCTGCAAGCTGTCCAGATCTTTGCCAGCAGAGCAGCTTGGCCACTCCAACATCCAGCCACAAGGACGATGCAATTAGACCGCCAACAAGAATTCCCCATGCAAGCATTCCGTTCCCTTGACCACCACGAAGCAGGCACAGGACCGGTTTCATCCTATTTGGGATCCCTCAGATTGGGCAGCCAGATGTTCTTCTATAGGTTTCAGACCCTCTACTGGGAATTGAATTCATGGCGCCATGCATTTAGATGACTGTGTGGAGTGCATTAATTCTGGGAGCTATCTAGGCCCTGTTGCTCTGTTGTTGCAGAAGCTATTAGATGCAGCTACAGAATTATATATAATCTGCCTACCCATAAGCAATCAGAGCAGAGAGACACAGATGTTACATCATGTCACACCTCTATGCGCACGGTTTTACATGATCACCTGACCAGTAGTGAGTTTGAACCCCACAGAATAGCATCTGGCTACCTTAGGAATCCTAAATAGTACAAAACCAGTCCTGAAGAGCCTGTCTCCTAGTGGTCAAGCTAACTGAAAATCCCACACTGTGAATTCCCCCTGCATCCAAATGATGGTGAAGTCATGTAAAACCCTATACAAGGGGTATGAAATAATTTAACATCTGTATCTCTCTGGTTTGAAAGGGTGAGCTGTATATACTGTTCTGAAATTTCTGCGCAAGCACTAGCTACTATTTTTACCGTGATGCAAACAAAACGAGAAATATTAAAAATTGTAAGGAAAAATATATTGCTCCTTTTGGCAATGAATATCTTCCTTTTATTCAGACAATGCTATGACTGTAACTTTTGAGATAGTCATCTCTAAAATGAGGCTGAGAATGAAATGGCAATATTCCTTAAGAGATTAATCCAAAAGTAATTTGCCATCTTATTTATTAAATTTATATTTATTAAAGCAATTTATATGGCCACCCAACTCACTCACGGTGACTCCGAGCAGCTTACAGAAATAAAACCCCAAATACAAACCCACTAAGCCCTCACGCCCCTGGCGACAGCAATACATTCAAACAAACCACTTTATGGGGTCCGTATCTTTCAGGTAGTTTCTTGGATTTCAGTGTCTGGGAACAGAAAACCCTTGGACTCCAGTGACTGCTGGTGGCTCTCAATGTGTCCTGATTACAACAGGATCGTCCCAAAAGAAAACCCACCTTTTTGGCAGATTCTGAAGTGAAGTCTGGGTGTGTCAGCAGGATATCCATATCTCCACTGGATTCTGCACCTTTCAAAGCAAGGCCAGTCAGCAAAAACAGTCAATCCTGCCTTGGAAACAGTTTCCAATTTAAGAAAAATCTGTGATGAACCAACAGTTATTCTGGTAGAAAGCAAGTAACTTTCTTTCTGCCAACCCTTTGGAATGAAGCCTGGAGGGGGAGGAGGGGAGGTTTTATGGATGAACCTCTTCAGAGAGACCAGCTTCTGTCCTATATTCTCTCTTCATGCAATGTTACTGCAATTATGGAAAATATTCTGGATACAAAATCAATGTTCAGAAAACAAAAATAATTACAAGATTTTTAACACAAGAAGAAATCAATTTTTTGCAAGAATCACCTGGTTATCATGTAGCCCATTCAGCAAAATATCTTGGTTTGCACATGACAGGAAACATATTTTGACATATATATATCAAAATAACTATGTTAAATTATGGCAAGAGATTAAAAGAGACCTTGAAAAGTGGAGGAACCTAAAGCTATCATGGTTAGGATCTACTGCAATTATCAAAATGCATGTATTACCCAAGATAAACTATTTGTTTCAAAGGGCACCAATTAGAATTTCAGAGAGAATCTTACAAGAATGGCAAGAAACTATGAGTAAATTCATATGGAGTGGGAAAAGACCCAGAGTCCAACAAAACTCATACAAGATTCCAAAGAGAGAGGTGGCCTTGCCCTTCCAAACTTTAAATTGTATCATAAAGCAAGCTGCCTGTCATGGATAACAAGAGTACCTAAAACCCCAAATACATTGCAGGATGGCAATTTTGGAGGGAGCCGACTTAGCCAATGGACTTCATAGATACTTATGGTACAGAAATACAAAGAAGAATGAAAACTTAGTAAACGCATACACACGCACAAAGTTAATAATACAATGGAGATTTTAATATTAAGTAATCAGCTTAAGATCAAAACCTCTATTATACAAGAAATACTTTGATGTGAATCCTAGTGGTTGTTTTTTCAATGTTATACTCATATTTGGATGAAAAAGCCAAACAATTTTACTGACATCCTAAACTGTAAATACTATTGATAGAGTTTTTTTTTTTCCTCTTCGCTCTTCTCAATACTCTAGGACAACAAAACGCTATATTGGATTTACTGTGAAGATCCTTTCTTTACTGTGGAGCTGGGAATTCTGCAATAGGATCTCACTTGTCTGGAGACAGGGCTGGAAGGTCCTGGTGGTTCCGCCTGCGGCAGGAAGGAATAGCACCACCCCTGGTTTTGGAATGGAAGGAAAGCTTGAAGAAAGTGTATCTGAGAAAGACAGGGAAAAGGAGGAGGTGCGTATGAAGCTACAGACAGCCGGTTGCTCTCTCAGTGCCTAGATGGACTAGATGCCCTGTCTTTACTACAGAAAAAAGACCCTCATCGTAAGAACAGTGTATACCAGAACTGTCCCTGAAAGAGCGGCCAAAATCCAAAGACTCTCAGTTCTTACATGGAACTATTTTCTGCAGCAACTTCTGCCGGGGGGGGGCTTTGGCAGAGGCTTATGACTTGAGCTCATACTAGTTTCTAAAGGAGGACATGTCAAAGATCATTTCTTTAAAATACTTATTAAATTTTTTTTTGCAATATTAAAAGGTAATACAAGCTCAAATCAGAAAAAGAAAAAAGAGAATAGAAAAAGAATATTTAAAGAAGCAATTCCCGATCTTCCTTGCAACAAGTACAAGCAAATTATTATTTTTCCGCCCTCTATAAAATTACATATATAGCTCATTCCTTCCCGTAATACCTTCATCCACTCACAGATCCAAAAATCATTGTAATTTTTGTCCAAGTGTCAGCAAAAAGTCCATAAAGGGTTTCCAGAATTTTATAAAAGTATTCCTTATTTTAACCCTGATCAAACAAGTCAACTTTATATTCCTTTCTTTTGCTATCTTAATCTTTAATTCATCAAGTAGTTATTATAGGACCGAGTCTCCATTTTAAACTTTCTTTCTCCCCTCTCAAAAATTTCTTCAGGTTTTTAGAAATCTTCTTTGGCAGGCCCAAAGGTCCTTGCCCAGGTCTTTTTTCATATCTTGGTTTGCCATTTGTATTACCATTCTGACTGTCATTTCCATTTCATAATCCACAATTTATTTTCCAATATTTCTAGCTCAGATATGATCTTTATCCTTTCTTCATCCTGTCTGTCCATAAATTCTTCCCTACTGTTTGTCATGTCCTTCACATCTTCTTTACATTCTTCTTCAAAAAAGTATATTTGCTGGTGCAGAAACTATTGCTGTCAATTTGGTTATAAATTTCTCAAAAATACTTCGAAATGTCTCAAGCAACATGCCTTTATCCGTCATTTCGCAGATTTTTTTCCTTTTTGCCTGGAGCGTTACTGCCCCCTAGTGGCCTATTTCTATATTCACAAAGCATTAAGTTTCCTTGTTTTCAACTTTCAGCCAATAATCTCTCCTGATAGACTAAACAATTTGCATTCCCACAGAAATATTTTGTTTACTCAATTTTTCAAAAATCTTAGCAAAAGTCCTAATATTCCAAATATGTCTCGTTCCTTAATCCATTTAAAACTTCCTTAAATTCTTATTCAGCTTTTTGCCATTTGTTTTAGATTATTTAAGTTCTTTAAACTGCTAGTTAACTTTTCTTCTATTTTGGGATGAAGTTTTACTCATCAGGTAGTTTTTAAAATTTGTTTGGAAGACCTCTTTTAACTGTAAAATAATTGTAAATCCAAAGGTAATAATAAAAAGAGTAATCAAAGAAAGTGAGGTGGTTGATTCCGATGTCCTTAGAGGCTCTGCCACAGTTGAGAGTTTGACGGCTTCCCTTGTCTCCCAGTGCTCAAACCTGCGGGGTGACCACTGTCCTGCGGTCTCCTTGTGAGGAACAACTGTCCAGAGCAGCAGCGGGCAATGTCTTGTCCTCTCTGTCTGGAGAGGTCCTGTTGGATCGAGCTTGCCACTGGTCTGTCAGTCGTTGCCACATCGTCATCCCTGCTTTCAGAGACATCTAGTTTGCCATTTTCCTCACATGGAAGTCAGGACGTTCAAAGAATATTGTGCATCTACTGCAGTGGCCACAACTCCGAGGCAAACTTATTCTGACACTTGTAGGGTACTTTAATGCAAACTCTGATCCACCTGAAGTCATGGCTTGGTGAAGCTTCTTAGCCAGGGTGAGGCTGTCCAAAGGCTGCAAGGAAGCTATCAGAGACTCTAAACATCTCTGTTCTTTTCAAGTATATCTTGATGGCTTACCTACTTTGTTCCAGTCCCTCTCTACCTGGGGCAGGAAGAAGGGAAGATCACATCCTCATCCTGGTGGAAGACTGAAGTCACCTTGGGTATAAAGGTTGGATCAAGGTGCAAAGTAATGGTGCCCAGTTAGACGACGCACAACTCCTTCTTGACATCTATTTCTGACACTTGCTTGAGTTATCACTAATATGATTGCTATGTTCCACGTAGCGTGTTCTATGGTTGCTTCACAAATTGGTTCAAATATTAGGGCTTGAAGTCCTAGATGGAGGTTCCATGATGGATACTGTTGGATTGTAAGTGGTCATAGTAAGGAAATGCTTCTTAGGAACTTTTTTGATGTGATGGACTAAGAGAGGTTCATTGTTCCCTGGTGCAAAGACCAAGGATTGAGTAGGAAGGCCAGGACCTGAGGCTGGCAGCAGTGAGATCTCTTTCATTTGGCCCATTGCAGAAGGCTCACCAAATGACCCTATACATGGTCAAATGGCAGAAGCTCTTCTACATGTTAGGATGATCTACTGTATGTAGCTTATTATTGTATTCTAGACTGGTGAGGAGGTCCTGTTCATTATTCAGAAGTGTAATTGAAAACAGCTGGGATCTGCATCATTGATTCCCCTTTGGCTCAGCAGGTCTGGTGACGCTGTGGAGATCCAGAGTCAAGCTGCCAACAGGGGCTTCTGCGCCAATTGGGTGCCATCAGTATCTGGTCACACATTGGCCTCAGGAACCTGGGGATGCTGGAAATGGAAAGGCATATAGTAGATCCTTGGGCTAAGTAGCAGCTAAGGTATTTTTCATCTCTACTCTCTGCACCCAGAAGAGCAAACTGAACTGCTCCACCTTGCAAAAGGCAAGAGTTGTAGGAGGTGCATCACTGGCCTCCTGAAGACGGATACCGAAGCTTCACTCGTAGGTTCTAGGTCTTTGGGGCTGAGCCAATCTGTCATGTTTTGACATCCCTGGATGTATTCTGCTACAGAGAAAGTACATTTTCCTCAGCCTGGATGTAAGCCTTAGGATGGAGTTACCCCCTCTCTCCTAATGGGGCCTGTCTGATGAGTCACTCTGAACTGGATGAGTAGAAACTGACAGGTTCTGACCTTGCAAGCCAGGAGCCAGTGGGCTCTCAGATATCTGCAGATGAAGTTCAGAAAGAGCAGGACCTGATGGAAGATGAGCCTGCAGGTCTGGAGCAGTGAGGTAACTGGACACCTGTTGCATAGTGGAAGAACTGTCACCTTATGCATGATGACAACTGATTATATCAAGGAAGCCAAGAAACAATTTTCCAGTACCTTCATCTATCCCAATGCTTGGGGGAAAAACCAGCTAAAAAGGCCTTCTTAAAAAGGCTAAAAGGATGGGAGCCTTGCGGGGAGGATGTTCTACAGGATAGGGGCTCCTACTAAAAAGATGTACTTCCTAGGTCCTACTAAGTGTCCTGGAATGTGCCTACACTGTCTAACCTGGTGGGACGGCAGATACCCACAGGGAGAAGAGGACCCACAGATAATCTGGCCCTATGCTATCCCGGGCTTTCAAGGTGATAACCAGCTCCTTAAATTGCACCCAGAAAGAAACTGGAAGTCAATGCAGCAGCGATGGGGCAAACCAAGGGGTGCCCAAAACTGCACGTATCACTACATTCTGGACCAGCTGTAACTTCTGAATAGTCTTCAAAGACAGTCCCATATGGAGTGCATTGCAGTAAGACAACTGGGAAGTCAGCAAGTCTGTAAGTGAGGTCTCCCAGTCCAGGAATGGGCACAACTAGCACACAAGATGCAGCTGTGCAAAAGCCCCCCAGCAATGACTGCCACCTGCTCAAGCAGGAGCCTGAAGTCTAGGAGGACCCCCAAACTGTGCACGAGCTCTAAGGAAATACTACCCTTTCAAGAATCAAAGATATCACCAGATCTAGAGGGGCCAAAACCTAAAGCTGCTCCACCTTGCTAGGATTGAGCTGGAACCAGTTCCTCCCCATTTTGTATGTGGGAAAAACCTTGGGAGACTGGGCCAAGAAACGCTGTCTAGGGAATGATCAGATAAGAGACAGCATAGCCTGCAGCTGGATAGTGAGCGGGGCAAGAGACCCTCCCTAGTTTCTCAGGCTGTAAAGGAGACAGTGGGAGAATTGTACTTTCAGAGTTGCAAGACTGATGTCAGCCTTACTAGGTAGACCAGACAGGAAACATGAGCAGATGAGCTAACCATACTTTATTGTAAAGCTGCATTAACAGAATCTTGCAAGTCTGAAAGTACAATTCTCCCATCTCCTTTTGCAGCCCGAGAAACATCTTGCCCCACCCACTGTCGAGCTGTGGACAATGCTGTCTCTTGATCATTCCCTAGGCAGAGTTTCTTGGTCCATTCTCCCAAGGTCTTTCCCACATACCATTACACATCCAAAACCTCTCCACTTCCAGGCCCTGGGTCAGCACCTGAATGGCATTGCCTGCCCGGCCAGAGGTGAAAATGTATAACTGGGTAACATCAGCATACTGATGATACTGCACCCCGTGTCACCAAATGACCTCGCCCAGCACTTTCATGTAGATGTTAGACACCTGAACCCTGAGGCAGCCCACACTGCAGGGACCTAGGGTTTGACTTCTCCCCCCATCACCAACATTGATTGGAACTGGCTGTGGAGGAAGGAGGAGAACCACTGCAAACAGTGCCCCCCCAATCCTGAAGCCAGTCCAGAAGGATACAATGGTCAATGGTACTGAAAACCACAGAGGGATCCAGGACAGCCAGGATGGTTGCACTACCCCCCAAGGCTATCCACAAGCACGAGCAATGCCATCACAGTACTATAACACAGCCTGAACCCTGACTGAAATGGGTTCAGATAATATGATTCATATAGGACCCTCGATGCTGAGCACCCACCACCCTCTCAATAACCTTCCCTAAAAAGGTAAGGTTGGAGACTGAATGAAAATGATCTAACACTGTCAGGTCCAAGGATGGCCTCTTGAGAAGGGAGTGCACCACTGACTCCTTCGAGGTAGGTGGCATCATCCCCTCCCACAATGAAGCATGAAGCACTGTGTGGACCCAACCAGATATCACCTTCTGGGAGGCCTTAACCAATCAGGAGGGCCATGGGTCCAGGACACAGGTGACCAAGCTTCAGCCAGGCAATCCAGGCCTTTCCATTCTCTCTAGCACTGGTATCATCACAATTGGAATATCAGGTTTTGTGGACTCTGCTTAGATCTTATGCTACCAGCACTTCCATAACAGGCACCACACACTTCCTAAGAAAATTGAATTCCATAGTCAATCTTCCTAGCAACACCATTTTAGCCACCATGGATGTTGAGGCACCAAAATCCCCCACAAGCATGGACACCAATGGCAAAACAGCACATCTTGTCACCAGACTGTGTGACTTTGTACTCACCCTATTATACTTTTGTACTCACCCTACTATATCTACAACCACATGTACCTGCAAATCAGTGGCCCAGCCCATGGTCCCATGCATGGCTCCTCAATATGCTAACATCTTCATGACTGATCTAAAAGAATGCTTTCTCAAATCTTACCCCTGAAACCCCTCCTTTACCTGAGATTCATTGATGACATTTTTGTCATCTGGACCTATGGATATGAATCTTTCATCAAATTCCATCATGACTTCCATCCCACCATCACCCTCAGCAAAGGCCTATTAACAGAACAAGTTCACTTGATTTCATTGTAGAACTACACCATGGATAGGTAAACACCATATTATACAGGAAACTACAGATCACCACGCTTTCTACATGCTTTCAACTTCCACCCAGAATATACCACCAAATCTATCATCTATAGCCCAGTTCTGTGCTACAATTGCATTTGTTCTGACCCACTTGACAGAGATGCTCAACTGACAAAATTAAATCAGGCATTCAGGAGACTGAAATACCATCCAGCAAGATTAATAGATAAATCAATAGAGCCAGATCAATTCCCAGAGAGGACCTATTAAAAGACAGATCACAGAAACAGAACAACAGCAGAACACTACTGGCTGTCACCTACAGCTCACAGCTCAAACCATTCAAACATATTAATAACCTACAACCCATACTGAACAATGACACTGCACTTTCTAGGCACTGAGTGGCAGGCCCGCACATATAACCACCTAACCTAAAGCAGATTCTCACAAGCAACAAGAAACAACAGGACAATGATGCTAACATGGGAACCAGACTCTGCAACAAACCCAGATGTCTCTCTTGTCCCCACAACTACACCAATAGCACCACCATAGGCCCCAACAAGTACACACGCAAAATTAGAAGCCCCTTCACATGCTCTTCCTTCCACTGCAGCCCCTGCCCTATGGAACACCCCTCTGAGATCTGACAGGCCCATCTATCTTTCTGGAGATCACTAAAGACCTGGCTCTTCCCCCAGGTGTTGGAATAGGGCGAGGTCAGGGTGGGATGAGACTGTGGGTTGCATCAAAGAAGTGTGGTTGTGGCGCCAGGTTTTTTTGTTTTTAGTTTTACTGCTGTTCGTTTTACAGTGGGGCAAAAAAGTATTTAGTCAGCCACCAATTGTGCAAGTTCTCCCACTTAAAAAGATGAGAGAGGCCTGTAATTTTCATCATAGGTATACCTCAACTATGAGAGACAAAATGGGGGGAAAAAATAGCCAGACCTCTTGCTTGTTTGCAGGTGACCAAATACTTATTTTGATTTTTTCCCCCCATTTTGTCTCTCATAGTTGAGGTATACCTATGATGAAAATTACAGGCCTCTCTCATCTTTTTGATTTTTTCCCCCCATTTTGTCTCTCATAGTTGAGGTATACCTATGATGAAAATTACAGGCCTCTCTCATCTTTTTGATTTTTTCCCCCCATTTTGTCTCTCATAGTTGAGGTATACCTATGATGAAAATTACAGGCCTCTCTCATCTTTTTGATTTTTTCCCCCCATTTTGTCTCTCATAGTTGAGGTATACCTATGATGAAAATTACAGGCCTCTCTCATCTTTTTGATTTTTTCCCCCCATTTTGTCTCTCATAGTTGAGGTATACCTATGATGAAAATTACAGGCCTCTCTCATCTTTTTGATTTTTTCCCCCCATTTTGTCTCTCATAGTTGAGGTATACCTATGATGAAAATTACAGGCCTCTCTCATCTTTTTGATTTTTTCCCCCCATTTTGTCTCTCATAGTTGAGGTATACCTATGATGAAAATTACAGGCCTCTCTCATCTTTTTGATTTTTTCCCCCCATTTTGTCTCTCATAGTTGAGGTATACCTATGATGAAAATTACAGGCCTCTCTCATCTTTTTAAGTGGGAGAACTTGCACAATTGGTGGCTGACTAAATACTTTTTTGCCCCACTGTATATCGTTTTACTGGTTGTAAGCCGCCCACAATTGTTTTAAGATGGGCAGCTATACAATGTAATAAATAGAGGGAGAGAGAGACCATCATCTGCCAGCAATGGTCCTCCAGATTCTATGTAGGACAAATTTTGTGCAAAATAATAAATGCACATAAATTTGACATCAGAACTCAAAATAAGTGCCAAGTAGTACAGGTAGTCTTGGTCATTCAAATTTGTGACTGTGCTGAATGAGGAGACTTACAGCTGGTCCTTGGAATTCCGGCCATCAGTATCCCCACGGTCACATGATTGTGATCTGGGGGCTCAGTGTCCAGCTTGTGATTAGAATGTCACAGCAGGCCACAGTCACGTGATCGTAACTGCCGATGCTCCTTGCCAGATTCCCACAAGCAAAATCAATGGAGAAGCCAGCAGGAAGTCAGAAGTTGAGGTCATGTAAGGTCCTCGCTTAATGACCTGCACGGTTCTTGCTTAATGATGGCAATTGAGACTGCCAGAACTGCCGTCACTAAGTGGCGCAGTAATGTGATGTCATGCTTTATGACTGCATCACTTAGCGATGGCAATTCTGGTCCCAACTGCCATCGTAAACTGAGGACTATTGTATCAGAGCATTTAAACCTTCCAAGACATTTTACAAGTAGTCCTCGCTTAACAATCATTCCTTTAGTGACTGTTTGAAGTTACAATGGTGCTAAAAAGTGACTTAGGACCAGTTCTCACACTTACAACTGTCACAGCACCCCTGCAGTCATGTGATCAAAATTCAGGTGCTTGGCAACCAGCTCGCACTTACGACAGTTGCAGCATCCTGGGGCCACACGATCACCATTTGTGATCTTCCAAGGGGGCTTCCAACAAGCAAAGCCAATGGGTGAAGCTGGATTTGCTTAATGACCATGTGATTTGCTTAACAACCGCTGCAAAAAAGGTCATAAAATCGGGTCTGATTCACTTAACAAACACCCCGCTTAACAACCAATTTTCTGGTCTCTATTGTGGTCATTAAGCAACAACTACCTGTATAAGAGACCTCAGTGTGACTGTTTTGAAAAACAGGACTTTAATTCCACCTTTGAGTGAGAGGTTGCTTAACACACATACATCAAAAGGTTTCAAGCAATCTCAGAAGGTCTCAAAAAACACAAGAAGTTCACACACACACACACACACTAGCTCCAGATGTGGAAACATGAAATACTGAAGATAGGGAGATCCATGGGGTAGCACAACACATCCAGCTTCCCCATGGAAGTCCTTCTAATCCACATTCTAGCAATAGATTCCAAAAGCCACATGCCAGGCTACAACTGCTACCAGGCAAGAAAAAATACGGAACACCAACCTCGGCGAAAACTGCCACAAACGGTAGCAATGTATGCAGGGTCTACTTTCTTCACTTCACTGAATACAATTTCCTGTTGTGAAGAAAACAGATCAAGTCATTTGATCTCTCATGGACTCTTATGCTTTCTCTTCAGAAGGAGTGATATTTGCTTACCTGCATTTCAAGCATCTCCTTTCTAGGAATTCTTTTTTCAAAGTCTTTGAAGTACCTGTGCATGCAAAATAAATTAGGATCAAGGATGAATAATGGCTGTGATCTACAACAGGTTTATCTTCATACAAGTTCTGCTGAAATAAAATGCTTAGATCGGCATCAAATGCTGCCTTGAGCACATCAAATTAAAGAAAGATTTACATGCATACTAGAAGAAAGGGATGCAGTTTAAAATATTCATTATATTAAATATTTCTGACATCGGACCAATTTTGCAGCAATGCATCCTAAGAATAAATATTGCAGCTAAAAATTCCACTGCTACAAAAGAACCCTTCCAAATATTAATCTCTTTGCTACCAGGAATTGAAATAATGAGGACCACTGCAAAGACCACGCAAGAGAGAATTCTTCATAAGCAGGGCCCAATTTTGCAAGTAATCCAACAGCACTGGCATTCACTTTGAGGACAGAAATTTCTATTTTTAAGAACACACTCTTAGGAATAGATTCAATACATCCATTTGACCCTCTAAAAAAACAAAATGGAAAATAATCTGCTTCCCCAAGTTCAGCCCCTCTCACTCTGGGGACAACTGTTATATCCCTAGACAAGCCTCCCGTGGGTCAAGATAATCATAATTCTCCCAGGCATGAAAACACTGTCTACTCTTCCCTCGGGGGAACTAAGTAAGCAGATCTTACTTTAATCCAATTTGTTGATGGTGGTTCAATTTATGTTCATTTTTCTTTAGGTCTAGAAAAACCAGAGTATGCAATCAGTTAAGCATTTCTTGAATACCAAGCTTGGAGGAAGCCACTTGCCAACCCTTTCCTGAAAGAGGCCTCTGCACTGTCTGAGATCTGTGGGATGCTGTCCCACAGAGATATCGGAGAGGGAGGAAGGAGTTAGAAGTTTAATTACTGCAGGAGCAATTTGATTTCTGTATGAAATTTAATATACCATCAACACACAGATTCTTTTTTAAAAAGCAAAAATACTATAAAAACCAACATGTCATACAAACGCTTAAGAAAAAAAATTAGAAGTCAGTTATACCAACATAACATCATCCTGCAGGAAAATCAAGCCAAACGAGCAACAAGTTTCTCTTCGACAGGGAAGTCAGACTTTGTTTTCAGATGTGCAGAAGGGTGCACATCCACTAATCTGTCTTAGGAGGGTGCTCAACAAATCTCTCAAAGTATCCATGTGCGTTCAGATGTAGATGCAGATATGCAGCTAATAACCTTCCGTTGGCTTACCTTCCAATGTTTTAATGCCTTCATCCACTAGTTTCCTGGCAGCAGCAGGACTGCAAAGGAAAAGGTAACTCATTACCAGATGGACAGAATTTCTACTGCAAAATCTCAGCAGAGCTCAAATTAACGGCATCTGAAACAGAGAACTGACAGATTACCTAACCAAAAGCCAATGGTAGAAGTAATTCAGAAAAGTGAATCAATGACAACTCAAAATCTGTGAGAGGCAGAGAGAATTAAAGTTATCCAGGGTAAGGAAAGTACCAAAAAAAGAGCGAACAATGACAGAGAGACTGCTAAGTGGACTGCTAATATTACAGATGAGACCATCTGTATGTCACCAGGTTCACTGTTTGTAGAGATGGAAAGGAACCTTGGAGAACATTTTCCACCAACATTCTATTCATTGCAGGATTGACAAAGCACTTTATGGTACTCATCACAAGTATGTTTTCTGGGCAGTATAAAAAAAAAACTCCATTCAAAATGAACTTAAAATTAAAAACTAAAACAGCAAAGAAATAAGGCAAGCAACCGTAGTTGTGAGATTATATGAAGTATTAGAACATGTTCTCAGATCTGAAAAGTCTCAATGTGTGTGTGTGTGCGTGCGTGCACGGAAATACATCACTTCACCTGTCACTGAAGAAACTACCAGGTAGGTCTCAGCAAGCCTCTCTGGAAAGGGCGCTGCACAGCCAAGGCACACCCACTGCATTCTTGGCTGCTGCTTGCTTAGCTCTGCTTCAACCTCTGAGGAAAAAGGCAGCCCAACCTTTTCTATAGAAGGAAGGTTTATCTGGTATTTAGCCAAAATTCATCCCTTCAACAAAAGCACACAGAATAGCTCTAGATTCAAAAAGCTCCCAATTTGATTTAGTAGTGCTTCCTCAGTCACAACAGAAAACAAACTGCAGCAGCTTCTTCTGAGCAACAGATCGAAGAATATTTACAGGTTCTAATTATTTCTTCCTTTAACAATCCATTGCTAGCAGTAACACCAGAAGAATACTTCAACTTTTCCAAGGAGAGTTCCGGTCAAGAAGAGTAGCCCCAACATGGGCATTCCAGAATTTAACTTTCTTGAATAGTAATATTTATTACTATTAAGAATAATAGTAATTACTTTTATTAGCATTATTTTCCCAGAAAACCTGAATCCTATCTTTTGGATTTAAATTATTTGACTTTCCAAAAACCTTGTTCTGGCCTTTGAAATTAAAAATGCACATAAATTTACCCTATGCCGCTAACTCTGGTCAGTAAATTGATAGAAGAGCTTGTGTCATCTTGTCGAATCTAAAGGAAGGAAAATACAATAGAATCATTAGTCTGAGTTTCATATGTACATATACATACGCAAAGAGGAAGGCTCATAGCATGGCTGGAAAATTATAGTACGATGCTTCTTGATATGTTCCTTGATATACGAGAGCTTCATGTTAGCATATGAATTGCAGAGATAAAGATGATATGAAATAAGTATATGAAATAAGATTCTAAAAACTCAAATATTTACCTTTTCTAGCTTACGTAATTTTCCAGTAGATAAAAATTCATCAATCTTTTCAGCAATTTTAGCTCCTACACCATCCTAAAAATATGAAGTTGACATTAAAAAAAAGATGACATGTCTGGTGACATCAGACTACAAGAGCTCTTAGCATATAAATATACGTAAATGCTTTTAACTTGGTAATCTTCTGCAAAATTTCTCAACTACCCTTTTCAGCACGGCAAGACCCGTTTTCTGTAAAGAAGTATAAGATTTCTCCTGAACCCGCCCAGTGAACTCTTTCTTGCTAAATAGATTTAATTATATTGTAAATGTTTAAGATCAAGCTATTTCTCAATAAAATCTGACTGAAGTACTAGCCATATCAACTAAAAACTCCTGAAGAATTTTGGAGAATTCCTTATTCTTAGCCCCAGAACTTACCAATTTTCTTGCTTCAGACCCACTTTTTATCTTGCTAGGGTATTTGGATATTACAGATGCTGCTTTCCTGCATGGCATAAGAAAAAAAAAGTCTGTTCCTATTTTGGCAGCACAGTCAGTCTATGGCAAAAGACTTCTGCAAAATGCACGCTAGAATTCCCAGAAGAAGAAATACCAGTAAAATTCTGCTGCATTTTCTAAAACACTGAGCTTCCATGTGAAGCAGATTAGGCGACTGTTCTGAAAATGCAAATCTTACCTGTAAGCATTGTATTTATGAATAGCTCTATTCACATTCCTTTCATAGTTCGCCAGTTCTGAAAAAGTTATAAAGAGGAGCATAAGTTAACACCAGGCTCAAGGTAAGTACAGTGGTACCTCTAGTTACGAACGCCCCTCCTTATGAATTTTTCAAGATATGATCAGCTCCAGCCCCAAAAATTTACCTCTACTTGCGAACTCTGCCTCTACTTATGAACCGGATCTGCAGCCATTTGCCCTGCTGCCACGCGGTCGCGGCTTCCTGTGGGCGAGAT